AACATCGGAGGCAGGTGGGTGTGGGTGTGGGTGTGGGTGTGTGTGTTTTAAGGGCTGGCAAGGGGTCCCCTGAACTTGTCTTTTTGCGTTGCCGTATTTTCCAGAAGCACTGGACCCAGAACATGCAGGAGCCCTGAATATGTCAAGGACAAAGCTCCCCCGAGCTGACATAATTTGTTGTTGTACCCCAAGTTGGATCCTCTGTGTGTCCTTGGGAGATAAAACAGGTGCCAGTCAGTCTGTGCCAGGCTGGGATAATGCTTGTGCAGCATGGGGTCCTTTGCAGATGAGCAGACCTTCCTATCTTCATAGTCTGGCGGTCCCCAAGGAAAAAGAATGAGGCTTTTGCAATTACTTTGCTCCTCCCCATGGGGAGTGGTTTTGTCTTTTTTCCCCACCTGTGTTGCACCATTCCCCATCCCATGTCCTGGTATCCCCTCCTCTTTTTGTCCTGCTATTATAAAAATGTAAACTTCTGTGAAAACTGAGAACCCTTTGGGTTCCATATACATTTCTCTTGTAAATAATCTAGTTTTCACATAAGTGGGGTGACGTTGTGATTGTCTGTTGACACCATTTAACCTTAAATTTTTATCTGTCTCTAGTTTGTGGTTGAGGCAAAATTCAATTTATTGGAAATGTTTATGTAACTAAAGAGCAGATTATATTATAGTGCCTGTTGATAGATAGACAGGTGTTGTTTAGGGGAAGTAGAGGAAGGAGCTGACTTTTCCTTGGGACTTCTCTCAGTTTGGGTGCCAGTGAATCTTCTCCACATTTCTTTTTTTTATTTCTCTCTCTCTTTTTTTTTGATGAGGCAGTTGGGATTAAGTGACTTGTCCAGCATCATGCAGCTAGTAAGTGTCAAGTGTCTGAGGTCAGATATGAACTCCTGTCCTTTTGATTCCAAGGCCAGAGCTGTATCCACTGTGTCACCTAGCTGCCCCTCTTCTCCATATTTCTGTTGTTTGCCGTGGCTCAATCCCCATTTTGCTCCTCAAAGGTGTACTGGAAATACTGAGATCACTTCAAGCTTTCAAATCCAGATCCTGGGAATCTCTTCCTCCAGTTCTGTAATAGCTTCTTCCTTTTATACAAATTGCTTAGGACATGACTTGGTCTCTGCACAGTGGCTTTGATTGATTCTAGGAGGTGTCCACACTCAATTCATATAGTTTGATTCAATCAAAATGTGCTCTTACCTAGCTAGGTATCAGAGCTAAAGGCGGAAGTTTCAACCCCACCCTTATACCACCAGTCTTTAATCCAGCTCCATGAAATTAGGAAATCTACTATGCTTAATTGGTACAAATGGCCAGGATTTCTTTATCATTTGCAAAGTAATCTATTTGAAGGTTCCTGATACTTCAATACTGAAGTACTGTTTTATACTAACTCAGAGAAGAATGTAAAAATTGAGCTTTTTTTTCTTAAGTATCCCTAGTTATTTTGGTAAAAATGCTAGACTTTCATTCACAAAAAACTTTTCCCCCCTATAATTACTTCCCTAGTCAACTACAAAAGAAAAAAGAAAGTCAGGGAGGTAGTAACTCTATGATGATTTTGACTTATGTGAGAACATCAGTAACTAAGAATAAAAATGCTTTTATGCTTTCTCCATATTGGTAAAGAAAATGCAGGCAGATTCATTTTTGGAAATGTAAAAATGAGAATGATCATAAATGCTCCATTGTTGACTGGGAGCTATGTGGAAAGGCCCCTAGAGTCATCTCAGATAGCACAAATAAATCTCTCTGCCTCTCGTTTTCTCAGACTAATCATTAGCTACTTTACCATGTTATACTCCTCCTTACAGAATTTCTTTGTGGCCTGTAGGCAAAACAAGCTTGGTCTTCCCATTAATATACTCTTTTAACTGCTGCCGAATCTCTAGCAGCTTAATTCATATGTTCCCTTAGTCATTTCTCTTTGTTCTAAAAGTCTTTGTTTGATTTCTTGACCAATCATTTTTCTGCTTATGATTTCCTCCACCAACCACCACTGATTATAGTTGTATATTCATTTAAAGAATCACCTAATATAGAGAATTGAGTCAAATTAATATAAATAAGAGCCATTCCTCAATTGATAAATGGTCAACGGTTATGAACAGGCACTTTTCAGACAAAGTAATCAAAGTCAACTATAGTCATGTGAAAAAATACTCTAAATCACTATTGATTAGAGAAATGCAAATTAAAATAATTCTGAGCTATTACCCACACCCATAGATTGGCTAATATGACAGACAGAAAAGGAAAATGACAAATGTTGGAAGACATGTGGGAAAATTGAGACATTAATGCACTATTGGTGAAGTTGTATACTGATTCAACCATTCTGGGGAACAACTTGGAACTATAACCAAAGGGTTTTTATATATAAATAAATATGTGTGTATGTATATATGTATACATGGTTTTAGCCATGCATATATACGCTTTGACTAGGCAATACAACTACTAGGTCTGTATCCCAAAGAGATAAAAAAGGAAAAGGACCTATATGTACCTATATATAGTACCTATAAGGACCTATATGTATAAAAATATTTATAGCAGCTCTTTTAGTGGTGGCAAAGAATTGGAAATTGAGGGGATGTCCATCATTTGGGGAATGGCAGAACGAGTTGTGGTATATAATTGTGATGGAATACTATTGTGCTACAAGAAATGACAAGAGTACTCTCAGAAAGACCTGCAAAGACTTCTGTGAACTGACACAAAGTGAAATGAGCAGAACCAGGAGAACACTGTGTACAGCAACAGCAGTATTGTGTGACTGATCAACTGTGAATGACTTAACTGTTCTCAGCAATACAATAACCCAAGACAATTCTGAAAGACTTATGATGAAAAATGCTGCTACCCATCTCCAGAAAAAGGCCTGATAGAGTATGAATGGAGATCAAAGCATCCTTTTTCTTTACTTTCTTTGCTTTCCTTGGGGTGTGTGTGTGTGTGTGTGTGTGTGTGTGTGTGTGTGTGTGTGTGTATAAGAAACACTTTTATGAGTTGTATTTCATAAGAAAAGGAAGTAGAATTGGCAAATGGGCCTCAAGGCTTGATTCTCGTTGAAAATGCCTGTACTTCTTCCAGTAGCCATGGGGAAAAACATTTGGTGAGCCTCTTAGTCCTCTTGTCAGTTGTGGTTCATAACCTTTTAATAAGTCGTCTTGTGATGGTCTTTTCTTGGTTTGGGGCTGTATGTTTGAGTCATCAGATATTTGGGATTCCTGTACCATCTAGAAATTTTCAGAGGGATGACAAATTGTGTTGTTTTTCACTACTCTTAGCGGCGCCTTCTCTTATTTGGCCTTAGCCATCTGTGAAATTCTGTTCTTTTACTGAGGCTGAAATCAAAAAAGGAATTCCTTCAGTAGCATCTTTCCCGTTAGTACTTATCCTGGCAGTAGAGGAAGCAGTGGTATTTATAATTAGCCTTCCCCTATAATAGTCTTTTCTTTTTCTTTTTTAATTTTCTTTTTAATTATGAATTTAAATGCCAACAAATACGAATGTTTCAATACACAATGAGAAAGAAAAGGGAATTGTGTATAAAACTGAATTTTTTTACATACAATTTTTACTAAAATGTATATTAACTTTAACATGTTAGCAACAAAACTGCCTTGTTTGTATCACTTAAATTTCCTTCTCCTCTCTTCATGTTTTTCATGTTTTTTAAGGTTTTTTTACATTACTCTCATTACTTCTCCCCCTTGCAATCCAAATAGAAGCCTTACCTTGTAATTAAAACTATAGTCAAGCACAGCAAATCAGTACATTGGCTGTGTCTGTAAATGTATGTCTCTTTCTGTACCTATAATCTGTCATCTCTTTGCCAAGAGGTAGGAAACATACTTCATTAGACATCTTCTGAAGTCATAATTCAGCACTGATCAGACTTCCAAAGTCTTTCAAAAATGTTTTCCTTTACATTATTGTGGTAATATTTTAATTTTTTTTTCCTCTTGGTTCTTCTCACTTTATATGTGATAGTCATTTCTAGGAGGAACCAGAAGCACTTAAAGTCCCACACTGTATTTAACCCCAAAAGGGATGTTCAAATAAATAATTTAGGTTTTACAGCCACATTGATGAAAAGGAGTTTCAGATCACAAATACCTTTATTCCTAATTTATTAAAAGCAAATTTTGCCAAAATTCATGTCTATGTTGTGACTATTCAGTAATTCAGTGGAAATTGAAATGAAAAGGAAAAGTTGTATAGCATGAAGTTAAAATATGCCCAATGTAACTCAGAGGAAATTCTCACAGCAACGTTTTTTTCAGTTAATGTTGACTCATTTGGTGGTATTAAAGTACACTTTTCTGCTATCCCCAGAAGGGAAGTTCGTATTCTTTTAAGTGAAGCCATTTTAAAAGCAGAAACCAAGCCTAAAATAATCCAGGGTTCTCCAGAGTTCTCAGAAGGTGTGGATTTATTTACTATAGTTAAAACATAATTAGTTCTCCTGGGAAAGTGTATCTTTTAAACTGCTTTATTGCCACCATATTGATTTTCTAAATAATCAGAAACTTCTGTTATTACATATATTCTAGAGTTTAAACAAAAATGCACTGTAAGTAGAAACAAATGTCAGGAATTTCTGGTTGTTTCTTGCTGGAGATAGGGACACCAGGTTGGAAAGAATATGTACTTGATAGAAAACTTTGAAGAAATACAATTAGAGATGCTTTATATAAACCGAATTATAATATGTGCATATAAAAGGGTGTATTGTGTGTGCGTGAGGGTGTGTGTGTGCACACAGGTGGGCCATATTCCCAACTCTTTTGGGGAAGTTTTGCTGAGATTTTTTTGATCATCTACTGACTTTAAATTAATCAATGAAATCTGCAGCTACCATACCTTTAAAAACAACTTAATTACAAAAAAAAAGAAAACAGAATGTTCTTTTTGTCCAAGATAGACCAATGTATTATTTGATTTTAATTTCCATTTTTGCTGACCAATCTTTCCTATTTTAATTTGCAGGTTGATGTTTGAGGTACCATCAGGCCTGGGTCTAGTAGCAATTGCAACCCGGCAAACACAAGGAAAAGGTCAGTAACCTCTTGTTATTATTGTGTTATTTTCATTCAGAAATCTCCGTCTCAGGTTTCATTGGAGTTGCTTTGAAACTCTAGTCATTTGGGTGCCTGATATCAAAGAATAGTAGAAGACATGATCAGAAGGAATAGCAGTGTCAAAACACTCCCTTTCAACTGGATGTTTATTAAAAACTTGGTATTTGTTCATAATCATTTTAACATTTGGTTAGCTAAGGTTTTTTTCCCTTCATATAAATTTTCCTTAATAACATATTCCAGTCTTTATAGTTCTAAAATTATGGCCGTATTATAAACTTATTTTTTTCAAAGGTTCACTGTGCAAGGAAGTACCTACTATATTAATGGTTAATGTTTGAAGAAAGAGAGAAGATGACTGAAAGGACAGAAAGAGGCTTTCATTTCACCATCGTCAGTTCTAGCTATGCCTAGTATTTTGCACATAATAACCAACAGTGGAAAGAACACTGGTTCTAGAGTCAGAGAACCTGAGTTCAAATCCTGCCTGGTTCTTACTACATTTGTGACCTTGTCTAAGTCACTTAATTTCCCTAGGCCTCAGTTTTCTCATATATAAAATGAAGAAGTTTCTTTACAATAGCTTCTGAGATCCCTTCTACCTCTAAGGTAAGGATTCTCCAAGCTTCTACTAAGGAGTGATTCCTGAGGAGGCAAGGCAATCTTGTCTTTGTCTTCCCCTAAACTGTGTCAGTATCTATAGTAAGCATGGATCTACTCCCAGCAGCTTGTAGAGGCAAACAAAGGGTGGCATGAATAGGACTGAAACAGCCTTTGAGCACCGTGGGAGAAAATTTGCTCATTATAGCCATTGGGAAAGCTGCCTTTTTCTCAGAGGCCACTAGGTGGCACAGTGGATAGAGGGCTAGGCCTGAAGTCAGGAAGATCTGAGTTCAAATGTGATCTCACACATTAGCTGTGTGACCTTGGGCAAGTTAACTAACCTCTGTCTGCTTCAGTTTCCTTATCTGTAAAATGGGGATAATTACAGTACCAACCTTGGAGGGTTGTGGTGAGGATTAAATGAAATAACATTTGTAAAGTGCTTAGCATAGTGCTTGGCACGTAGTAGGTGCGACATAAATGTCTATTCCTTCATTCTCCCTCCCTCCCTTTTAGACTATGAGGATAACCCAGAAATAATTTTAACATTCAAAAATGATAACCTGTTCTGATCATAGGGAAATAGAAAAGCTTACGGAACAATGTAATTCATAATTTCTCAACTTTTTCTCATGAGTCAAAAATAATTTATTAAGCTCTTGCTATGTGCCAGGCACTACAGTAAATGCTGAGGATACAAAGAAAGGCAGGACGTAATTGTTCTTCCCACTCAGCTCTCAATCTGATGGGGTAAATAACATGCAAACAGCTATGTACAAACAAGGCATGTACAGAATGAATCAGAGGTAATAACTGAGGGAAGGCACTAAGATTGAGGACTGGGAAAGGTTTTTTGCAGAGGGTGGGTGGGGTATTAGCTGAGACTTGAAGGAAGACAGGGGAGCTGGGAGCAGAGATGAAGAAGGAGAGAGCCCTGTATAAATGAAACAGATTGATCTGGAAGCCAGGATGCATAGAGACAACTTTAAGATAATAGACTTTCTATAAGAAAACAACAGTTCATGCCCAAAGGACTATAAACATGTGCATACCCTTTGACCCAGCAATAGTACTTCTATGGCTGTATCCCAAAGAGATCATAAAAACGGGAAAAGGACCCACATGTACAAAAATATTTATAGCAGCTCTTTTTGTGGTGGCAAAGAACTGGAAATTGAGAGGATGTCCATCAATTGGGGTGGCTGAGCAAGTTGTGGTATATGAATGTAATGGAATACTATTGTGCTATAAGAAATGATGAGCAGGCAGACTTCAGAAAAACCTGGAAACACATATGAACTGATGCTGAGTGAAGTGAGCAGAACCAGGAGAACATTGTACACAATAACAGCCACATTGTACGATGACTGACTTTGATAGACTTAGCCCTTCTCAGCAATGCAAGGATCTAAGACATCTCCAAAAGTCTCATGTCGGAAAATGCTATCCACACCCAAAGAAAAAACTGTGGACTTTGAATGCAAATCGAAGCATACTATTTGCTATTTTTTTTTCTTCTGTTTTGTTTTGTTTCCTCTTTCTTGTGGTTCCTCCTATTTGTTCTAATTCTTCCCTACAACATCACTAATATGAAAATATGTTTAATAGGAATGTATATGTAAAGCCTGTATCAGATTGCACACTGTCTTGGGGACAGAGAGGAAGAAAAATTTTAAACTCAAAAGCTTATGGAAGTGATTGTTGATAAATCAAAATAATAAAAAATTAAAAAAAAAAAACAACAGTTCAAAAAACCTGAACACCATAATGCAAGAATTAATAGAAGAAAATTACCCACACCTTCTGAACATAGACTCATACCCCTTCCCAGGCCAGCCCAGGGTGTTGGTTGGAGAATGTCCTTCCTGCTGCCCTTGTTGCTGCACCTGTGAAGTGCTGCAGGATCTCTCCGTGGGCTGAGAGGGCAAAGAAGCTGAACAACATCATGAAGTGCCACACCCTGGAGGAGATCCCGAAGTATAGCCGTGGCAAGAGCACTTGGATCATCCTACACTTCAACATCTGTGACTTGACCAAATTCCTGAAGGAGCATCCCGGTGGAGGAAAAATGCAGAGGCAGTAAGCAGGAGGCAATACCATTAAAAATTTTGAGGATGTTGGGCATTCCACTGATGCTTAGAACTATGCAAGACATATTATTGGGGAACTTCATTAAGATGGTAGATGCAAAATAAAGAAAATAAAGAAACCTTCAGATATTACTACCATTGTAATAACAGCAATTGGTGAACCAAGAGTGATGGTGGCCATCCAGTTAGTTTCTGCATTTGTTGTGGCCTTGATGTATCGCTTTTGTGTATCAGAGTCCTGAGCACTTTTTGAAAATAAAAAACTACCTTATTCTAGGAAATGAAAAAGCCAGTTGTCACTGTCTACTTTTCCTGACGTGAACCGATGTCATTTGCAAAGAAAACTTTAATGTGTCTATTTCCAACCCTCTGACCCCTGAAAATAAAAGGTGAACTATCCTTTTATAAACTTTTCTATAGAATAATGTGCTCTTTCATTCAAATTATTTTCAAAGTTTAGTTTCCCTTTTTTATGTTCTATCACTACTTTGTTCTTTATGTAACAAAGCAGCTGATGTAACTACTGTATGGCCTTTAAAAATTAGATCATTTTATGTATCCATTTGTGTCTGTACAAGTCAGTCTTTGATGTTTAAAAACTCGTAAAAACCCTTCGAGATTTCTTCATTCAGACCCAAGCAGTCAGTGTTGACACTTTGCTTTAAGGAAATTTTTGGTTTCTGTCTTCTGTGAGTTATCTCTGATAGAATACCATATTGTGGCACTGCTTTCAAATCAAATTTTATTCAAATCAGATTTTCTTTTCAGGAAGTCAAGAGGCCTGGTGATTATACTTTATATGATCCTAATAATATTTGTTCTTGTGTAAATAATAATGGTAAGAAGGGGAAATTTCCAGAAGAAACTGCCATTGATCAAGAAACAAATTGAGTTTTCCCATAAAGCACAAGTGGTTTTGTTCTACCCCATTCCTCTCATTCCCATCCTCAGACTAGAATTAGCACTCTGGTTATTTGAGGGGGAGAAGGGAGAAGAATCCTCTTTTGGGGATAGCTCTTTTGAAGACAAAGACCTAGTTGACACTCCCATTTAGGAGGGCTGCTGATTCCCTGTTAGTGAGGACTGGGAGATGCTCTTTGTGATGTTTGGATACTGATTTTGTTTTTAAGGAATTTACTATTAACTAATGAATCATGATGATGTTCATGCACCTGTATCATTTTTTCCCCATTGAGAGCTTTTCCTAGCTTATTCCAGTATGTCTTAGTCTTTATTCTCTGGTCTTCAGTTTACTTTCTCTCAGAAAGTTTAGTTGTTTGATAATGTAATGGGAGAGTAAATCTATTTAAAATGTAAGCTGTCATGATGAACTGTGATCATGTATCTTTCCCTTGATGTATTAATCAAACAGAATGCACATAAAAAAACCCCACTAAAGCACATTTTAAAAGGTAGCTTTTTTTCCCAAAAAAATTAATATAAATTTTAATAAACGTTGGTATGACTATTCTATCTCCCCAATTTTAAGCATACACACACACACACACACACACACACACACACACACACACACACACACAGAGAATATAGTCAGGGTCTTTCTGAGGTTAAGGTGAAATGCTCTTTATTTCATCAGTAACTGAAATTAACACTTAGGAGGAAAGGGGTTAGGGAGATGTGGGAAAGGGTGACTATACCAGAAATGCAAAATTATCTTGAAGAAAAGTCTTTTGTTAAAATTCTTAATAAACTTGTTCCTGGAACAAAAAACAAAACAAAGCAAAAAAGTGTCAGTTGAAAGAATCCACAGATGGGGATGGCTGATAAACAACAAAATTTGAATAACAAAAGATATTTGAATAGCAAGATTATTTTGCATTTACTGGAATCAGCCCAAAGAATGGAATAATGTATTCCAAAGGGCAGAGGACCTCAATATTAACTTGCACATCCGAAGGTAGCCATAAATGCAAAAATATGGACATTCAATAAAAAAGAGACATCTAAAAACTTTCTAGAAAGAAAACAAAACCTGAAGAAACTATTTGCTCCACACAACAGAAGTATTAAAAGGGTAAGCAAATACAGCTACCAAGGACAACAACAACAAAATAACAACAGAGACACCATTAAGAGGTTGCTGTCTAAATGGGTGAGGAGAGTAGGATGAAAGCAGAAATCAAATAGAAGTGATGGGTGGAGAAACACTACTGAAAGATTAGGGACTAAACCTCACAAAACTCCACCTACAGGTGAATCTATGTTGTTGTTGTTGTTGTTTTTAAACTAATTTACAGAATGTATAAAAGGGAGGAAGAGAGG